TGCCGCCAGTTAGCAGGCAATCTCAATCCACAAAGCAAACAGTGCAGCCTTTTTCTATGCAGGATAGAAGTTACTTTACATAGAAATTGAGTCTTTCTCACTTTTTCATTACTTTCTGTTTTAGGCTGAGGAAAGGAGTAGGAGGCAAGAAGAAATGAAAGATTTGCCTTAAAAGAGGTCCACTGGGCACACCAACTACTTTCAGAAGAGTAATTGTTCAAACCCTCCTCCTCTTGCAAGACTCCACTCAGGGAACATGCAGGAAACATGAATGGAGAGAAAAAGGTCAAGACAAATGGAAGTCAAAGGGTGGAAATGCTTTCCACAACACTGGAAGGGATGATTATGTTGCTTCTAGAGAGTCTCTTGAGGAATATATTGGAATTAGAAGTTGAGAGTGAAAAACTACATAAAGCCTAATTCACAGCAATAGATCTTTGAGCTCACTTGGATTGATTTTTTTGTGTGTTAATTGTCATATAAAGTGGGAGTTTTCATGAAAAATGTTCCACTGCCCAGAGAAGCATGCAATTTTTTCCTCCCTCTAATTGTTTAGTTTGCAAAGAAAGTCTCAGAAGCACACAACTGGGCTGGCTATTCTGAGCTCCTCTACTGTAAGACTGAGGCAGACTCCCGACAGAACCAGAAAAGAAGGGAGTGATGATGTTACGTAGTGCTAGAACTGGCCTTGACCAAAATATATGGGCAATCTCCTCCTGTGTGATTTACTGCTTCTGAAAACCCATTGGTGGTTCTGCTATGGATGAGTCAGTTCTGGCTCAACAGCACATAACAACATCTCCAGTGTTAAACATAACGTGTAGTATCTAAGTTCTGAGATAGAAGTAGACTAGAAGAGACCTAAGAGGATTAAGAAACTCAGTTGATTTCAAATACCTCTCTCCTCAGCCCATAGCTTTTCTGAAGACGTGCTCTAATTCCAGCCAATATACAAAACTGTCAAACAATTCAAATATCTATCAAAAGATTAATGTATAAGCAAAATGTGATACTTAAATGATGGAATATTATCCAAGCAAAAAGAGGAATAGTATCCTCATATACACCATAACAAAGATGAACCTGGACACACAGAGCTGAGTGAAATGAGTCCGTTTCAAGAGGACAAATATTACATGATTCTATGAACATGAATTACCTATAACAAGCAAGTGTATTCAAAACTGCATTAACTGGTAGTTACTAAAGGTAGGTGAAAGGGAAGGAGAAATGAAGACTCATTGCTTAAGGGTCCCCTAGCTTCTGAGTTAAGAGTGATGAAACTTAATAATGGTGATGGTTTCACAAAACAATGGAAATGAGGCCACTGGATTGAAATGGTAACTCTTAGATATACTTATCACTACTTTTAAAAGCTAATCGGTTTTTAAAAATAATACAATAGGGAGACCTGGTGGCATTAGTCCATAAGGAATTGCACCATTAATTCAAAGATAGCACCTCTCCGGTGGTTTAAATCAACCAAAAATTCCTGAGGAGAAAGATGAGCAACTTCTCCTATGCAGTTTACGGTGTCCGAAAATTGCTGGATGGTCACCTGTGAGTCCGTTTCAACTCAGTGACAAAAGGAAAATGTATAAATAGCCCTCTCTCTTTCCCTCTACTCACCCACACAAACATACACACCCTACTTACTCTCTCCTTTCTCCCTCTCTTTCTCCCTTTTCTCCTCCCTCTCTCTGCCCCTCCCTCCCTCACCTCCTTCTCACCCTCTCCCACAAACTAACTCTCTCTCTCTCTCTCTCTCTCTCTCCAATGACTGTCATCAACTGTCCAGGTTAAGCCCTAAATCTACAAATTGTCTTATTCCCATCTCTCACTTTTCCCTGGAAAGCTGAATTATGTTTGGTGAAACTCCCAGATTTTATTTCTAGTCATGGGAGTGTCCTGCAAGGCAATTTTTCAGGGCGCTGTCAAGTCTCTCAGCATTTTCATTGGTAAAGCAGGCCACAGATTCTGGGGAAGTGCTAGCAGAAGCAATGACACCTGATCTGTTGTAAATTGGGTCAGTAAAATTCTTCTTGGGCAGTAAAATTCTTCTTGAATTTCTATGGACCAAGCAATGATTCTATTCTAATAAAATAATAAATCAAATAGGATTTACATAAACTGGGTCCCTCACAGTACCTCAACAAAGAGCAAGTGATGGATTTTACATTAAATTATAAGACCTACCGGATAACCCTATTGGCTCCCAATAAATGCCTCCCTCTGAAAATTCCATTCAGTCTTTGCACCTTTGTAAAGCATTCCAGCTGCAAATGTGCTTGCGGTCATGAAGGCAGACAAATCAGGGCAGATACTGACCATTTGATTAGCATATCACTAATCCTAAGGGTTATTCTTGACTCTCAGGGTCTTAAGTTTTCCTAAGAATTATTTAATAAACAGTTCTTTCATCATAAACCACAGAAAGAAATACCAACCTACATTGAAAATAGAGAAAAATTAAATATGCAGCATTTTTCACATATCAGAGGAATTCCTAGGGAGCGCAAAAAGTGAACACTCTCAATGCTAACCAGAAAGTTGGCAGATAGAGTCCACCTAGAGGCATTTCAGAAGAACAGTTTGGTAGTCTACTTGGGAAAACACAACTATTGACTCTCTACAGAGCAGTCCATCCTAGCACACATGAGAATCCCAGGAGTCAGAAGTGACTCAACAGCACTCAGCGGGTGTTGGTTAGATTGTTAAATGTGTGGTGCTAGACAGAGGAGAGGCCAGTGAGTGATATTCAACTTGACAGCACCTAAAAACTACAATAAGGGAACTCTGGTGGCCTAGTGGCAAGAAGCTGCACTGCAATCCCAGAGGTACGCAGCTTGAATCCACCAGATGCTCTGCAGGAGAAGAAGGGGCAATCTTTTCCTGTACCAGTCAGATCTGATTTGATGGTATAAACACACACAAAATAATAAAATAAAACTTTAAAAAATACAAAAATACACAACAAAAACCCCTACAACAACCACCTATTTGAAGAATCATTCAAAAAGTTGGACTTCATCAACACAAGTGTGGTATCATGGTTTCAGGAAGGTGTATCAACAACCTCTGTTATGCAGATGACACAACCTTGTTTGCTGAAAGTGAGAAGGACTTGATGCAGAAGATCAAGGACTATGGTTGTTGTTGTTATGTGCCTTCGAGTCACTTGTGACTCATAGTGACCCTATATACAATAGCCCTGAAACCTGCTCTATCCTATGCCAACTTTTCTGTCTCTAACACATCTTCCTCTCTTTCTCTGTCCTTCCATCCTTCCAAGCATGATGTCCCTGTCTGACTTCAATATGGATTACATTTCAATAGTAAGAAATCAGAGGTCCTCACCATTGGGCCAACAGGCAAAATCCATGATAGATGGAAAAAAGACTGAAATTGTCACTAATTTTTTCTTATTTAGATCCACAATTAGATCAGGAGAGTAGGAGACATATAACATTGGGAAAGTCTGCTGTCAGGGACCTTTCCAAAGTTTTGAAGAATAATGATCTCAGCTTAAAAAGTAAGGTGCAACTCATTCAAGTCAGGTCTTTCCAATCACTTGCTGTGCATCTGAGAGCTGGACAATGTACAAGGATTACAGGAAAAGAAGTGATGACTTTGAGTTGTGGTGCTAGAGAATAGTACAGAATATGTCATGGGTAGCCAAAAGAACAAATAGATGTTTGTTTGGAAAAGATGTGTCAGAGTTAGTAGAACCAGAATCCTTCTCTGAGGCGAGGATGTAGAAGCTCTGTCTCATATAATTTGGGCATGTTGTTAGAAGAGGCTGTTCCTTGGAAATAAATCATGCTTGGAAAGGTGGAGGCTCAGTGAAGGAGAGGTAGCCGCTCAATCCCAAAAAATGGATTGATCCAGTGTCTGGATGATAAGGATGGATAGGTTAGGATTCAGATCTGTTGTTCACATAGTACATGACTTGAAGACACCTAACAAAACAACAATCTCTTTGTAAATAAAGTTTTCTTGAAACACAGGTATATACATTGATTTACCTAGTGTTTATGTTGCCTTCATACTGCAAATACAGACTTGAGTAACTGCCACAGAGATAACATGGGTCTGCAAACCCTAAAACATTTATCACGTAGCTCTTCACAGAAAGAATTGCTAGCACTTGTGCTAGAGGGGAAAAGGCGAAATATGATGTTTCACCAAACTGCTATGCTGCTGGGTTTGCTTTTACTCTGGAAGTTTAAAAGGTAAAGGGAAAAAAAAATATCTAGCTCTCTGGGTTTCTGCGAAGGTAAAGGAATATGCATGATGGAGATTTAAAATATCGTAAGAGGAGTGATGGGTTTAATTATATTTGCTTTATAAAAAAGTTTAAAATCTTGTTTCTACTAATCCATTCAATTCTGACAATTGGGAGACATTTGAGAGAAAAAGAGATACTTAAAATAGGATTTAGTGAAATTTAAAAGTTGAGGAAAGACATTCCAAGAATAGCAAGCGAAACAATTTCTTCCCAGGATTTAATTAGTAACTAGGTATTACTTCTAGAAGCTTCCCACCCTCCCCCCACTTGCAAGAAGTTTAAAAGTTGCATATCAATCTAATTAACAGGTACGGATTCTTCCTAAATCACTCTCTGTTAGATATGTGAATTGGCCCACAGAAAGGGCTGAAAATAATGCTTCCCAACCCTACTCATGAGAAAAATGTAGTAATAATGACGATGGTTACCATAATAACCATTATTATAGGAATAATGATCATTATTATAGGAACAATCATTTGCTGAGCATTTATCACATGCTAGGTGCAATGATGGGAGCTTCTACATGATCCCATTTAATCCTCTCAGCAGTCTTAATGAAGTAGACACCATTATCCAGACGATGGCTGAGAAGGGTAAAAGCGAGCCACAACTTTCTAAGCTTGTTCCTATCATTATACCAGTCATTACACCCTCACCCACCTCAAGGCCTCCTCCATGCCCACTCTAGCAACCCACCCACCTCACTGACCTCTGCAGACACTGCAGCACTGGTTCTCAGGAAGAATGTGGTCCTTCTCAGAGCAATTCAGCTGGGGGCACATTTCGGTGATTTTCACTAACACTCCATCCTGGAGGGCAAATATTAGGAAAAGAAAAAGATGTTGATATTTTTAGTGGATGATAGAAATTTGAAATGCTCATTGTTAATCGCCTGCAGTGATAATAACCTACTATAATTAATAATACTCCCAAGAATTGTACTAATGCTGACAAAAATCACGAAATTAATGAGACTCCAATAGAAGAATATTTCCAAAGATTTTTTTTGGTCAAGATAAAGTTTTTTAATATCTTTTGTACAGCAAGATGCTACCAATGGTGTGCTAGTAAAAATTTAACAATTAATTCTTGGATATTAGAAAACTAAAACCGACTCACAGCTTTCAAGTTAAGTCCAACTTACAGAGACACCGTAAGACAGAGTACAACGCCATGGGTTCATCTAAGGCTGTAAATCCTTACAAAACCATCCTGCTGTGTCTACCCCTTCTGAGTGGGTGGTAGGTTTCAACTGTGGACATTTTGGTTAGCAACTAAGTGCATTAATCGCTACATCACCACAGCTGCTCCTCTTTGATCAAACCCAACCTGCGAAGCTGATTCCAACTCACAGTGACCTCCCATTGCAACTCAAGGCTGCACATCTTCACAGGAGGAGACTGCTCAGCGTTCTCCCAGGGAGCATTTGAGCTCCATGGTGGATTCGAACTGATGACTTTTGGTTGGTAATGCAGCATGCCCTGTACTACATCACCAAAAGTCCTTCTTGTTTGTCAAAAAGAGTCCGAATTGGAAGTGTTTGCTGATTTTCATGTTGCAATACTCCTGAATGACCAATTTCAATTAACCAAGGTGATGTCTCTGAATGCAGAGTTAAGAAAGATATATAATTAATCCATTTCCACAAACTTGTATAAGCCAACTCCAGCACATCATTGAATAACGGGCATTGTGAAGTCAAAGAGAAATTTTTATCCTTGATGAGCTCATAGTTTATATGGAAGAAAAACAAAAATAGAAATAATAATATTAAATGTTATTTCCAACTCATGACCATTCTCTAGGTGCAGAGTAAAATTGTGCTTCATAAGATTTACAATGCCTATTTTTGGAAAAAGATTTCGAAGGTTTCGCTGGGTGGATCTGAACTTCTAACCTTTCAGTTAGCAATTACGTGTTAACCATTTGCACATTTCAGTGACTAACTAGTGTCTCCCTTCTCCCTCCTTCTCTTTCTCTTTCCCTATGTCTGTCTCTCTCTCCCCCGCCCCCCCCACATCAAGTATCACATAGGAAGCTACTGCCCATCATTAAGTTTCACACAGGATGTGAGTGTCCATCTTCTCCCTCAGAATGGCGAGTGGATTTGAACTTCCAGAAAGACATCGACTTTGAGTTAGCAGCACAAGTGCCTAGTGGCTATGCAACCAGAGTTCCAAAAACCTAATGGATGTTCTTGTTATGTGACATTGAATCAGAACCAACTCATAGCTGATCCGCCAGTGGACTTTCAGAGGATGTAAATTGCACAAAGGAAATTATCCATCTTTCTTCTGCAGAGCAGCTAGGAGATTTGAACTGCTTGCCTCTGGATTGGCAGTGAGAGTCCTTACCCACTGGGCCACCAGGATTCTTTTTAATGTGTAGTAAGTGCTAACACATTTCCTCAACTACAGATATTATTATATGATCTCATGGGAGAACAATGAATTCTGCCAGGTGAGAATAAATTATGGAAAAATAAGACATATTTGAGGAAATGTGAATGTTGGAATAAAGAAGAAGAGATTTTCTGGCAAATGAAACAGACAGGAAGCAAGGCATGCAACAGGAATGAACTGAGAGGGGGTCAGTTTAAATGTGTGGATTTTCCCCAGATAAAAAGAAAATTAATTATAATCAGGTTTTAAGTATTCAGTATCTAAATCTTCATGACCTCATTTCACCGAAGGGCCTATTTGTTGGCATTAATAGCATCTATATTTAGTTTTACTCCGAATTTCAGAAATTAGGTAATTAATTACAAGAAAGAAAGAGAAAAAGATTCTGAGTCTTATTTAATCTAAAGCATTGAGTTTTTCTTCTTTAAGTTGAAGAAGGAAAAGCTCAAGAGGAGGAATATTGTTTTGAGACAAAAGGCAATTCTCAACTTAGATAGAGTCGTAGAACTGGCAGCCCAGGAGATGGGGGCAATGCTTTCCCATCTCCAAACGACCCCATCAATCCGGGACCTCCAGTTCCCTGGTTTGGTAGAAACTCCTATCAGACATATTTATTGTCAAATGGGAGCATGAATATTACTTTAGACATCAAATATAAATTTATTTCTAACTGCTCATCTTTCAGGTCCAGCCCCCTTCTCTTTCTCAGCTCAATTCAACTTCTGCCACTCTTCTTCCAGTTTTGGCCTTCATTTCCTTATCTTTCACACTTCTTGATCTCTTTCTTTTCTTCTCAGAAATGGCTATAGGATCTAAGCATTGGTCCTACTCCTCATACTTGTCCCTCTTTTTTCATCCACATTCCATTTTCGCCACCTCAACCACCTCATCACCTCAATCTAGGCCACACTGGGGGACACCAGCCTGAAAAGCAGTCACCAATTCTAAAGTCTGTATCATTTCCAGCTATGCCTACATTTCTGAAACAGGAAGCCAGGCTCATCACTGCAAATTATGTCTTTGTAATGAATTCTACCTCAATCATAAAGAAAGCACAAAGCCTCACTACTGGACCAATAGAGATTATCATGATAAATAAAGAAAGGTTGGAAATCGTCAATGATTTCATTTTACTTGGATCTACACTCAACCGTGGCAACAGCCGTCAAGAAATCATCTTTGGATGTCTTACATTGATCAAATCTGCTACAGTCTTGGTCTGATAAAAGGAGAGTTTCCCTGGGATGAAGCTTGCATTGCCTTATTAAAGATAAAAGGAAAGAGAATCAGAGGAGTGGACCTCAGTAATACCAAGAAAATAAATACATATTTTTCTTGTTTTATGTGTGTCGGAACCTTCAAAATGTTGCAGAAGATTTTTTTTGAAAAAAGAATTGCAGAATTGCTCTTGAAAAGTCCTTTATATATTTGTGTATGTGTGTGTGCATAAATGGAGAGAATGCACAGAGTCACTGTACCAGAAAGACTTGATCGACACTGAAAAATCTCAGGAAATACCATATGAAGAGAAGCCAATGGTAATGAAAGACGAAGTGAAAGCAACACTGAAGTAATTGGCAAAAAATAAGGCTGTGAGAATTCATGCAATACCAACTGATTTGTTTCCATTAACAAACAGATGCATCCTTAGATGTACTCACCAGTCTATGCCAGGAAACTTGGAGGATGGCTGTCTAGACAACAGACTGGAAGAGGTCCGTATTTGTTCCTATTCCCAAGAAGGGTGATCCAACTGAATGTGGAAATCATCAAACACTATCATTGATATATCACATACAAGCAAAATACTGCGGATGATCACTCAAAAACGGCTGGAAAAGTACATAGAAAGGGAATTGTCAAAAGTTCAAGAGTGATTTTGAAGGGGCTGTGTGGCATCAGGGATGTCACTGCTGATGTAAGATGGATCTTGGCTGAAAGTAAGGAATACCAGAAGAATGTCTACTTGTGCTTTATCGAATATGCAAAGGCATTTAACTGTGTGGATCATAAAAAGCTGGCATTGAGAAGAATGGGAATCCCAGAGCACTTGACTGTACTCATGAGGGACCTATACCTGGACCAGGAGGCTGTTGTTCAAATGGAGCAGGGAAGCGCTGCTTTGAATTGGGAAGAGAGCGCATCAGGGATGTATTCTCTCTCCATACCTGTTCAATCTATATGCTGAGCAAATTATCTGAGAAGCTGGAATCAAATGGAGACTCAGCAATAACCTACGTTATGAAGATGACACATCCTTACTTGCTGAAAGTGAGGAGGATTTGAGGCACTGGTTGTAGAAGATCAAAGAATGCAGCCTTCAGTATGGATTGTGTCTCAATATCAAGAAGACAAATAGTATTAACACTGGACTAATCGGCAGTATCATGGTGGATGGAGAGGAGACTGAAACTGTCAACAGCTTCATCTTGCTTGGATCCAGAATTAACACCCTTCATACATACAAGCAGTCAGGAAATAAGGAGGTAGACAGCAAGGGGAAATCTGTAGTTAGGGACCTTTCCAAATTATTGAGAAGTAGTGATGTCAGTTTGAGGACTAAGGCACATCTGATTCAGGCCATGGTCTTGCTTATTACTAGCTATGTGTCCGAGACCTGTACAATGAATAAGGATGACAGAAAAAGAATTGATGTCTTTGAGCTGTGGTGCTGGAGAAGAACTGAACATCCCATGGACAGCCAAGGAAATGAATAAATGTGTCTTTTAGAGGGTGCAGCCAGAGTGCTCTTTGGAGGCAAAAAATGATGAGGCTTCGCCTTACATACTTTGGGCATATTGCTAGGAAATACTATACCTTGGAGAGGGACATGATGCTGGGTAGGGTGGATGATTGGCAAAGGAAAAGAACACCATCAACCAGATGGGCTGTTGCAATGTGTGTGTCAGAAAGTGAGAGGATATCACAGGTGAAGACTAGGTTCAGAACTTTTGTTCATGGGGTAGCTATGAGACGTACTAGACTCGATGGCACCTAACAACAACAACATATACTAAAAGAAGTTTGCTTCTTATCTAATTGATGTTACTGAGAACCAAAAATTATCCCAGGAAAATAAAAAAGGATACAGTCTGCAGGAAGCATTTTGCCTCACTGGAGATCTTCATCAGAATGATCAGATATAGAAAATTATTTGAATAATTATTTTCACTCTCCAAAGATCGCATACACTTAGTATCACTCAAGATGCCCAGGAATGAAGTTCATTCATAAGATACAATAGATGCAAGAGAATAAAAGTGTTTAACTCCCTACAAAGGCCACACAGGAGAGGCCTGGAGCACTGTCGTCCTGTACCCATCATTACCATCCCTTCTGACAACATCCATTACATGAGTCTCAGAGATCTTCTGTGATGTTCTCAAAACCCTAACATTTATCCAAGGAATCAATGGGGCACAGCCTGACCAATTTGGTATTATCAACCAGACTGAATAAAAGGGACCTCTCAATGCTCTTAAGCCTAACTTTTCTAAATTTAGAACTGAAAATTATTTCCCTTTAAGTTTAATACCATCAAGACCGACAACAGAAAAGCTAAGGGAGGAGAGCAAGGGATCAACCAACACAGGCTCAGATCCCACTGATCACTGAACACCTTTCTTCATCTGTAAAAATGAGGATATCAGTAGTTACTTCAGAGAGAGTGGAATGGGCACAAATTAAAAATAAAAAATCAAATAGAATATGGATATTATGAAACGATATCATTAATATCCCATAAAAGTAAAATCTTGCTGAACATCATTTTAAAAGCATTAGAGCATTAAATCAACAGGTAACTGCCAGAAGTTCAAGTTGGATTCAGAATAGTCCAGGGAACAAGAGATATTGTTACTGATGTTAGATGGGCTGTGGCTGAAAGAAAATACTAGAAAGGTATTTACTTGTGTTTTATTGGCTATGCACAGGCATTTGACTACGTGGACCATAACAAATTATAACTAGCATTGTGAAGAATAAGAATTCTAGAATATTTACCAGTGTTCATGTGAAATTGTAAATATACTCAAAGGCACTCATTCAAACAAAGTAAGCAATACTGCATCATTTAAAATCAGAAAAGATGTGCATCAGAGTTGTATCTTTCTTCTATATCTTTTCAATCTGTGTCCTAAGCAAATAATGCAAAAGGTAGACTATGTGAAGAATTGTGACATCAGGATGACAACTTATTATATTTAGAGTTTGCTTCCAGAAAATTAAGAATGCTTCAAGTACAACTGACAAGGCTCAGAGCCCTTCAATATGATCTACACCTAAACATAAGGGAAGAAAATCTCTCACCAGTGGACCACTGAGCAGTTTCACAATAAATGGAAAAGAGACTGAAGTTGTCAAGGATTGTCTTTTACTAGAATCCACAATCAAAATCCAATGAAGCAAGCAGCAGTCAAGAAATCAAACAACATTGCACTAGTCAAATCTTCTACCAAAAGCATCTTCAGAGCAGGATGTTACTTTAAAGAGTAAAGTGTTGAGTTTTCAACTGGTTTATAGCCACATGAGGTTTTAATAGTTTTAAATGCACATGATTATAACAGCACATCAGCAGAGAACTGCTGGAAGTCCAGGCTGGGTTTAGAAGGGGTTGTGGTACTAGGGATATCGTTGCTGATGTTAGATGGATCTTGGCTGAAAACAGGGAATACCAGAAGAATGTCTATCTGTGTTTCATTGACTATGCA